AATCCAGAAACGAAAGGAATGTGCGCAGACTCACATCTTGGAGAGGTATGTCATGTTAGTAAATTGGAAGACTGTGAATTGTGTATAATAGATTTCTGCCTTAAGTTTGATGGACCGAAATTTTGCGTTCGGTTTGGCTTTACAATATCGTCCAGATACCCCTTAATTGAATTTAAATGTTTGCAGATCTGGGTGAATAGCCCGCACAATGGCAGCGGTTACTTCATGACAGGCGAAGATAGCCAAACAGAAGACCGGTTTAACGCCAGACTCACTACAGGCCCGTCGGGAGATATGGGGGTACAGTACGCAAGGACGGGATGTCTTGGATTTATCAAGAGAACGGATTTCACGCAAACGGATGGTGGTAGGTTTACTCGTGCAAAGTTTGCCATGTAATATGATCCAGGAATATAAATAGATAGTAACAGTGGCGGATCCAGGGGAGGGGCCCGTGTCCCCCCCCCCCCTCCCCCCTCCCCATTTATTTTAGACAACCTGAGGCCCGATGGGCCGAAGAATATTTTGGAGACTGGGCCTCCCCCTAGGTTCTCAGTGTCTGGATGACCCTCCCCTCCCTTCGCCTCTTATCTCTAGAACTGGTTCCGGCACTGTGTAATACATCCTAACATGGACGCCCTGGGGAGATATAGAGAGAGTCAAGCGTATGGGGAAGTATGCGTGAGTAACTGTCCGTTGTAAAGAGCTGTCTGTGTTATAGAAATGTCCGTAGCCTGAGGCTCTGCTAATCTCTGTATCAGTTAAAAGAACCATGAGCTCGATTTCCGCCGCGTCCATGGGTCCAGTGTTGTTCCTCCCCGAGAAAAATTTGGGGGGGACAAGAACTGGCTTATTTGCTGAACAGCACATGGTATGCGAGCGAAAACGAACCATTATTTTGTGTTTGTATCTGTTGACGTTAAGCCAAGAAACTACAAAAGTTTTTATCGTTTATACTGCTTTATAAAAATTTGGATTCCCAAGCAGAAAAATGAATAATCTTGAAAAGGTTGTTAGTTTGTTAATTATTAGGGAATAGACAACCCGGGTTTTTAACAATGTCAACCTTTTACTAACACACATCGAAAAAGATTAGTTTAGTAACACAAAGAAAGCAAATAAACAAGAAAAGAAAATATAGAAAATATTTAAATACATATAACAGATACATCCACTGGCGACCTAAAATTCAAGCTTTCGCTGCATCTCGTGCGTCATGATTTGTTGCTGAAAAGTGCAGTAAGCGGAGCGTGTTTTTAATTTTCATTGTCAGCCCGGCACGATGCTTTATTCGTTGTCGGACCTTTAGAGGAGACCATGGTATTACGAGGCATGCGGTATCACCCTGTAGACATCGAGAACAGCGTCACAAGATGCCACAGATCAATATGCGAGAGGTTAGTGTCAAAGATACGGAAAATAATAAGTTTGTAAATAAGTGCTTTTTTTCAGGGCAGAGAGCTGTCAAGGTTTGAGCCAGGTGGACATCTGGGTGTCCGGTTTGTGTGCACTGGTTGCCCAGTTTTCGGTAGACTGTTAGCGGTTAGTCAACTCTCTGAACCCTTTCACTGCCAGAGTGTTTGATGGAGTTTTGTAAGGTGACTCTAACTTTTGAGTCTGTGGACGAAATCCTATGATGTGACCATTCAAATGAAAGCTCTCTGCCTGTACTTTCACGTGATGCTATTTTTGTCTCAAAATTTTAGAAAATGAAATTTGGAAATTTGGTCGAAATTTGCTTTGGGCAAAATTTGGCCTTAAGGTTATCACCTTCAAACCCCTCCTTGTGATATAAAAAACAGCTTGCTGACAGGAGTTTACGAAATGATCTCACAAAATGAATCTGCTTGATACTTCAACAACTTCTCCACACTACTTCTATAGGAAACTTATTGGGACAACAAATAAGAATTTGAATGTTGATATTAGGTTTTAAAAGTTTAATTTCGCAAGTGAGTATCTTGGCCTTTTTCTCTTCCTTATCTCCTTTTCCCTCCTTGGCTTGTTCGCCCTCTCGAGTCGAAGGACTAAAGTGGTACTACTCGCAGTCTAAGTTTCCGAGGAGAATGTGATTGAAAGAAAAAAAAGGTGTTGGTTTGAAAAATAACTGTATGAGAATTAGGTGACACCCTGCTACAATATCCTGACTGAAACCCTGAAGGCAGATTCAACACAAGGATTATGTCATAGTGACTTATACGAAATCGAAACTTGCATAACGTAAAACACATCGGACCATGTTCTCCGCAGTCGTAAGGAAAAGTGTGTGTTCAAAATAGGGTATATTACCTATTCCTATTGTAATGTATTCCTGGCTATCATATTTGATTCATCGACCTCTCATTTTTTTCCCTTCTCTCCCGCAGTGCGGTGTTTACATGGACCAACCTTCTAGTCGTTGTCGTCGAACTTGACGCGGACGAAAGCGAGGCTCTTGACGTCGTTCCTCTTGTGACGTCATCCGTGCTTAATGAACAACAATTAATTGTAGGGGTAGTAGTGGTGGTTGATCCCGGTGTTGTACCAATCAATTCTCGTGGCGAGAAACAGCGAATGCATCTGAGGGACGGCTTCCTTGCGGACCAGCTCGATCCTATATACGTAGCGTATAATATGTAGGAACTGCATTTGTTGTGTAAAGAGTGAATTTGCTCGCCTCCCGTACGTATTTATTATACGTTGAGTATAATATGTAGGATTAGCTGCAGCCTTAATAGACGTTAGGTATAAGATGCAAGGAGTGCATTTACCTCGCTCTTTGTTCAAAAATATGAAGTGCAGTCCTGGTGACTAACCGCTCCTACGGCGTTACAAATCCCAAATAGTATTTATTGTTACTTGCAAAATAGTGCAAAACTTATTGGACAATAAGAAGAGATAGTTTCGCATAATTCATAATTTTGTCTCGCGAAGCTTCCCCATTGGTGGAGATTGACGAGAGGTAGCTGAAGCCTCGAGCAAGCTCTCCATTTGTGAGAGTCACGGAAAGTCACTCGTGGGCGACACGCGAAAGGAGACTCCGAGGCTTCATGAAAAATGAGCTCCCCTAAAAACGCCTGCGTGGGAGGCTATGGCCACGTGAATGAATTGGCTCTATAGATCGTTTTCATTTACGTGATCGGCAGCTATGCAAATTTCTCAACAAAAGAACGTTTTTACATGCGAACAGAGCTTAATCTTCACAGGGTTTTTTGGAACACCTACATGCCCGCCGGGTTTTTGTTTTGTACCCCAATATTGCTGCCGTGACGTCATGTGAAAAGGATCTATTTGGAGGAAATAAAAATCTTTCCACAGCAGTGGCGAATCCAGGGAGAGGGACCACGCCCCCTCCCTCGCCCACCTCTTACCACACCCGTCAGACCTAAGAATTTTTTAGCACTTTGGTGGCTATTTGCCGTATTATAGCTGAAACGGTTACCACAAAAGACTCGCATGTATATAGGTATAATTTAGTTTGCAATCTGTCTGACATGAATTTAAGTAAGTAAGATTTTAATAACGTGTAATATGACTTATCATGCATTTCGTGATATGGCATTAAGGCGCGGTTAGAAGCCAACTTTCCTGCTGAGGATCACTGGAGTCAACTAGAACTTTGTCGCCCTAAGTAACATCAACCAGTATTTCATTACGTGAATTCTGCTGTGGTTGTTAATTTTCTGTATGAGGCGATGGTAGATCCATATTGCAGCTGTTAGGTATTGCTTGACGTCCTTGACTAATACAACTGTTTTTGTGTGGTAAGAAATTTTCTCGGATGTAACGAATCACAGGGGAATGTGAGATTGAACGAACTGCCCGTTTCGGGAAAAAGTACTCTTTGGCATTTGCTTTAATAATAAAAGTGAAAGTTAGTTGTTTTTTTGGATTTTATATTGTTTTTAGACACATCTTCCTACAATGTGTAGTCTTATTTTCGGACTATAAATACTGAATGAGGTTCGTGAACATAATGAGTACCTTAAGTTGGTTAAAAGTGAAAGTTAGTTGTTTTTTTGGATTTTATATTGTTTTTAGACACATCTTCCTACAATGTGTAGTCTTATTTTCGGACTATAAATACTGAATGAGGTTCGTGAACATAATGAGTACCTTAAGTTGGATATTGGGTACATTTTTTTTTGTTTCGTTTGCGTCGGGCATATCCTTTATAGCTCGTGCAATGCGGCTTATATCTAACGATTATTCGATCATTGTGCTTCACAGAATAGAATTAGTGGTCAGATTTTGTTAAGTATTCTGCCAAAAAGGCAACGGATGTTGCTTATATTTTTATGTGTAAATAATAAAGATGTGAATAGAAGCATTGTCTTGTGCTGCTTAGTATGTGTTGTTATTTCATCTCCCTCAACAGTACTGATGTTATTTTGTTTTAAATACTCAGTGTATTGGTAGCGATTCACCATTTCATTGTTGTTGTTGTTCCAGTAGGTTCAAAATGCCAATGGGCCATCTCCGGTTTCTTACCCCTTTTTTCTTAAAAACAAAAGGGCAAACAGCAACTTAAAGGTGAAAGCATACGGTAACCTTGTTTTAAAAAGGGGCTGTGTACATTTCAAAAGATTGATTGCTTTGGCCTTGCCATGTGCTCCAAATATAACTATTATGAATTATTATAGTTACTGAGAATTATTATTCATCGTTATTCGCTACTTTAGAGACGAGAAGGGGACTGGATCGAGTTAGCCCTCGCAGGACAGGGGATAGAAGGGAATTGGCCAATAGCTGAACGGCGCGTCCCCAGTAACGATTCCAGGAACAATAGCGGGACGCATTTTGGTTCCAGTCCTCTTCTCGTTTCTAAGGTGGCGACTTATTAAGGATTACTTATCTTGACATGCGCAAACAGTCCTATGTATTTAGCTATAATTATGACTATGTGATTGTTTTGGCTGACAAAGTCACGTAAATTTTCTCAGCGAATCACGAAGCGTAGCAACGCATTTTCAACGCAAATTTTCTTCTCGTTTCAAAAATTGCTCAGATTTTAGACCATATCAGACATCCCAGTGGTTTGGATTTTGAATAACAATCAAAGTGTAGTCTTTCGACGGAGCAACCATTATCTCATTCTTCCGAGATCGCACTCGAAGAAACTTCAAGTCGTTCAAAGGGTCGAGATCTCGGACACAGCTACGCGCTAAACTCGCCAAATGCTGAAAATTGGTCGCATACAGTTGGGTTGTTGCATTATCCATTGTAGACCTGATCGCAATGCCTTGTGGGTTGATCACCAGAAGGCCCAGGACGCCTGGGTGCGAGTTAATCCTTTTCAGGGTGTCTTCCACTTCTCCTTGGGGCGGGGGTTCCATCATTTTGACCTTCTTCTTTTTCTTAAGAAACAAACAAAAAACTTTTTTCATACCTAGGGATTAACCCACTGTGGGGATATGACTTTTTCTGGTATCACCCCGTTTATGATCAGTTTATTTATGTGGATGTTAGACAGTGCAAAGACTCTGGGAGGTATAGCCTGCGTGGCAGGCGCAAAAAGGGGAGGGGGAGGGGGGGGAGAAAGGGAAAAGGGAAGGGAGCTCCCCCTCTCCCCAATCCCCCTCCCCTTTTTCCCTTCCTCCCTATCACCTACCCCCTACCCCTTTCGACGCCTGCTACGCAGGCTAGGGAGGTACTCCTGGGAATTCTAGGTGGGGGTGTGCCGCTCCTGACCCTATTTCAGACCAAAAGACTTCATTTTCACACCCGTTTTTAGGCCTGGCCTCTATAATCCATGCCCATTCACAGACCTGGCCTTTAAGAAATTATGTCATCATTTCTTACATTAATTAGAATAGCAACAACTGAAAGATTTCTTAACATCCATCTCGATTTAGCATATTTCTCTTTCTTTCTTACTCATTTGGAACACTCCCATAGTTCCCTCGAAAACCATACCCGATTCCATACCAAAATGGGGCAAAATCTATACCCGTTTTTAGACCAAAAAGGCGCAAAAACCCTACCCTTCGGGGCGGCACATACCTATATGGCTTATATAAGGGAGTACCCAACCTCCCCCCGCCCCTCCCGAGAGAGAAAGTAACGAAGCGATGACCGAAAATACGCCTGTAAAAGCAGGATAAACGATTCGCAGCGAAACGCCAGAAAACAGTGCAAAAAAGGTATCGGTCTCGTGGTATGTTTCACCAAATCGCTTCTATGTAATTACAAATTTCCTCCAAAAAAAGATATTTGGCAAACAAAACAGTCCAAATAACATTGACACTTTTCGTCCTTTTGGCTTTCATTATTTACATTCTTTACCCAAGAGAAATTGCAAATGGGAAAAGCAAATTGACATGTATTAGACGCCAGCTCACACAAGACACCAAAAAAGTTAGAATGCTTTAATAATATACAAACAATGCCACAAAAAGCGCTACTCAATCAGATCGTAGATCTCAGATGCGGAAAATCACACGCTTAGCAGCCTATTCAAGCATCATGCTGAACTATAATCTTACCTATCGGAGACGACTACTTTGTCCTCTTGTTCCTTGAATGAATCGAAGAAAATCCTTTGACATGAGATAATTCCTTGAATCGACGATGATTGTTTCTTTTTCGAAACAATGTAATTACAATCGCGATGAACAAAATCAACCTTCCCGTACCCGAAATTCGGGTTTGTTATTGATGTTGTGACATTTTTGGAATGTTGACTATTAGTTAATTATTGTTTGTCTTATCACCAATTTAGGCATTTAGCCATGGTGACATTGCTGTGCCATTATTGGCTTCCTGCCCAGGGCGGGTACTCGGGATTTCAAGTGACGGGGATGATCGAATGGAGCCAAAAGTCAAGACCCAAAAAAATCCTTAGGGCTTCCAGCAAAACCCCCCCAAAAAACCCTGGACCAAAAATTAACCCCCAAAAGATCCGGGCACCACGGGACAATGCAGACTACTGTATAACACGTGCGATGTAAAGCGTACTTTATTCGCAGAACTACGCAGCCAGGGCACTAACGATTCTTTTTAATACCCCCAAAAAATCCCTATTCAAATCAAGGTACCAAAAAAATACTTGCCAAATTTTCGTACCCAAAAAAATCCCAGAATCGAAAATTTCAAACCCAAAAAAATCCTTCCATCATCCCCGTCACTTGAAATCCCGTGTACCCCCCTAGGCTTCCTGAGAACAATCTTTCATTCATAATGTTATCTTTGCTAACAAGAGTCTAACAAATAAACTGAGGTAAAAAAATGCCAAGTAAATATTTGAATTATGTGCTGAATATTCTAATCAGAGCTTTTTTTCTCGAATTTCTCGCATAGGCTTTGTGCGGGCTCTGTCTCAATGTACCCTGGGTGAGACTTTTCAAGCGCGGTTTCCCGTTTCTGTCAAGTCTTTCGTGACCCGCTCGGCCAACATGCCGAAACGCGAGAAAGAACTCTGGTACCCAGAGCAGTCTCGATCGAGGCACCTAAGGCTGGAGCCTATAGACAAGATGGAGGAAAAACGAGGGCACAATCGATTCTCATCATCATCACCGTCATCATCATGGGCAATGTTGTCTTCTTTTTTATTCAGAACATCAGTAAACATTTTTTCTTGGTCGAGTCTGGCCGAAACTGACCAATTACAGGAGCCGAAGTAATCGGCTCCCGCCAACTATGAAAAAAATGAGGATTCTTGACCAAAATCATGGGTTACACCCCCGACCTTTGGGAAAATTCTCATTTTGGCGACTATATAAAACTGATATTTCTATTGTGCAACAAGTCTTGTTTTTCATTTCGAAAATCAATAAACATTTAATATTTCATACCAATTTTGCACAAAAACCAAACGATGAAAAAAAAAAAAAACTTTTTTGCCCAAAATGATGGATTCAGGGACGCGTGACGAACCCCTAAAAACGTCTGCGTGGGAGTGCCCTCTGGCGTATGTGCCCTTTCCCAGAAAACGCGATTCTCACCCACACGGTGTAAATTTTATGGATAAGTTGATGAAAATTGGGAACATGACAATCCTCAGTTTTGGCTCCTGGGTTCAACAAAAATTTAATTTTATATTTGACTTTTTGTTGTCATTTTCGGTTCGTTCTGCCTCGTTATCACGAGGTTAGCTTAGTTGCCACGCCACGCGCCATGTGATTCGAAACTCCGATCAGTTTGTGAAATGAACATGTGACGATGAATGTTTTGAAAGTTTTCTCTGGGATGTTTTGAGTTTTAATTTCCACGAGGCACTATCTAATTTGTCTTCAACATCAATTTTAATACACCAACAAGCTGCCGGAATCAGAGTGTGGTGAACCAACTGTTTGGCTTGTTCCCGTCAGCAAACTTAGCAACTCCATGCAATGAGAAAGGGAGGCCAGCCCCATAGAATTCTACTGTTACCACACACCAGGTAGGTAGTTGTATTAAATACGAGCTTTAACTAACATTGCGAGCTTTGAATACATGTAGATATGCCCGATACGCGATAGACGTTGACACGGTTTTGGAATCCATCTTNCCCCCCCCCCCCGCTATGGATGAGTTTTTTGGGAAACTTTTCACGTGACTAGTAGGAATCTGCAATCTTTTCCCAGGGACCTGTAGGAAACCGCACTATCTTATTAGTAGACTTGTAAGAATCTGCTTGCAGACCAGTAGTTTTGCATATCCGTTTCATGGACTGGTAGGAATCTGCAATCTTTTCCCAGGGACCTGTAGGAAACCGCACCATCTTATTACCAGACTTGTAGGAATCTGCTTGCAGACCAGTAGTTTTGCATATCCGTTTCATAGACTAGTAGGAATCTGCACTAGCTGTCGAAATAATGTCGAATAATTCCTTGTTCAAAAAACTATGAATTATACACTAAAGCTTCAGTCCTAACGACATCTACTGAAAAAAAGTGAGGGCGATAAATGCACTTGAACCAGTTTTTAAAATCTTCTATACATTTGTCTTTAAAAATTTCTCTTCCTGCCGACTAAAATTTCCCCGGAAAAATTGAAGACAATTTGGAAAATCTAAAGCAAATGTCTGGAAAAATTTCACCACAGTTACGCCACCCAAGTTTGTTAGTAAAATCCTTTGCTGTGTAGCTTTAGTTTACAATTCCTACTTTTTTGCAAACTGCCGTTGACTGACTCACAACACAATTCTCCTTGGTTGGTGTATCTTGCAAACTGCAATCATATTAAGAGCTTGGGGAAAGTGGTTTCAGGGAATTTCAAAATATTTGTCTACTCTGAAGTCCTGAAATCAGCTGCTCCTGAGGTTCTGCAGTTGATCAAACGCTTTTATTCTGTACGTGTTCTAGACTAATTTTTGCGTGATCGAAATTTTATCATTATAGGACGAGGTATATTCTTCCTGCACTGCTAGCGGAGGCCCCTTTTTCCTTGTATTTTCATGCTGTATTCTTTCTTGTTTGTGTGTTTCGGTCTGTTAAACATAAATTTGACTACTGCAAAAGCATGTTTTGAGCTGTGTGCTTGTTTTTCTCTATGGCAGTAGGTGCTGTTCAATAAGGTCTGTTAACCATGAATTGAAAAATCGAACAACTGGGGGACTTCAGGAGCATGTTTTGAAGATGATAAGTTTTACTAGACGGGTATCCAGAATCCTGCGATGTGTTCTTATCTCAATGATCTTGGATCAGGGATATCACTAAGATTTCAAGTTGCTGGGTAAATACGACAAGTAGGCAGGGAATAAGACAGCTAGGAGTTTCTTTTGGTTCATTTTTCTATAAAGTAGTTAGGGGCCACATTCATAGTAGCCAGGGGATATATACGGCCCCTGCCTCGTAATGACAGCCCTGTGGATTCTCTAACTGTACTTTAAAATCAGCATGGAAGGCTGTAAAGCATTAAACGATTAAGCTCTTTCCTCCCCTGGTGCTCTGCCTTGATGTGGCAGGGAGACTTGTGCCCTTGTGACCCTTAGTGCTTTGACAATGGGAGCTTATGCTCCTTAGGCTAGCAGCTCATACTCATCAGCTCATACTAACTGATCTTTCCTATTTGTAGTGTTAAACTACAAAAGCATCCCTGATGCCTGCCCTTTTTGCTGCATTGTCAACCTGCAATCCAATCATCCAACTTCAGGAAACCTAGGATACTGAACATGCCTACTCAGTCATACTCATACTGACTGTTCCTCTACACTTGTTTTGATTATGGATCCAACACTGCATCCCTGATCCCTGCCCCATACATTCCAGATATATGACTGGAAACTAGTGGAAGATACATGTACTACTTGTATGAAATGGGATTCCTTGCGGTGGCTGGATGCTTGAGCATGGCCGGATTCCAATGAAAGTTGAACTTGTGGAAGGTGTAGTGGTGTTATGTGGCCGATGAACTGTTTCGGCAGAAGCCGGTGTCACTTAATCTACACAACACAAGAGATCAGAGATCATAGAACCGGTCAACCAATAAACCAGTAAGTATGGAAACCAGAAACTCATACTAACTGTTCTTCCCTGTTTGTAGTGTTCAACTACAAAAGCATTCCTGTTGCCTCAGTGGCAATTTTGCTGTGGTGTTAACCTGCAAATCGAAGGTCCAAACCTACCATCCAAAACCAGGAAATCTAGGAACTCCACACATCCATTCAGTCAGTTCTAATCTGACTTTTTCTCCACACTTGTTTTGATCATGGATCCACAACTGCATCCCTGATGCATGTCTCATACATTCCAGATATATGACTGGAAACTTGTGGAAGGTACTACTTGTATGAAATTGGATTCCTTATGGTGGCTGGATGCTTGAGCATGGCCGGATTTCAATGAAAGCTGAACTTGTGGAAGGTGTAGTAGTGTTATGTGGCCGATGAACTGTTTCGGCAGAAGCCGGTGACACTTAATCTACACAACACAAGAGGTCAGAGATCATAGAACCGGTCAACCAAGAAACCAGTAAGTATGGAAACCAGAAACTCATACTAACTGTTGTTCCCTATTTGTAGTGTTCAACTGCAAAAACATTCCTGTTGCCTGCCAATTTTGCTTTGGTGTTAACCTGCAAATCAAAGGTCCAAACCTACCATCCAAAACCAGGAAATCTAGGATACTCCACACAACCATTCAGTCGGTACTCATATTGACTTTTTCTCCACACTTGTTGTGATCGTGGATCCACTACTGCATTTCTGATGCATGCCTCATACATTCCAGATAAGTGACTGGAAACTTGTGGAAGATATTACTTGTATGAAATTGGATTCCTTATGGTGGCTGGATGCTTGAGCATGGCCGGATTCCAATGAAAGCTGAACTTGTGGAAGGTGTAGTGGTGTTATGTGGGCGATGAACTGTTTCGGCAGAAGCCGGTGACACTTAATCTACACAACACAAGAGGTCAGAGATCATAGAACCCGTCAACCAAGAAACCAGTAAGTATGGAAACCAGAAACTCATACTAACTGTTGTTCCCTATTTGTAGTGTTCAACTGCAAAAACATTCCTGTTGCCTGCCAATTTGGCTGTGGTGTTAACCTGCAAATCGAAGGAACTTACCATCCAAAACCAGGAAATCTAGGATACTCCACACATGCATTCAGTCAGTACTCATACTGACTTTTTCTCCACACTTGTTTTGATCATGGATCCACTACTGCATCCCTGATGCATGTCTCATACATTCCAGATATATGACTGGAAACTTGTGGAAGGTACTACTTGTATGAAA